AAAAATTGTTCTGAAACAATGATGAGATCAATGTGCTTGTTGGGAAATGAAACATGAGACTTGGAATAGAATAGTTATACCGGCCACAGCTATATTCTCTTATATAATATTACGACTATAGTGTTTCTTAGTACAGGGCATGATGAGAGACAAAAGCTTAAAGAGTGGTGTCAATATACATATAGTTACTGTAATATCATGAGTCTATGTGCAACATCTGGTACATTTTATTTTCATGATTTTATAGTGTATGCATTACCAAAAAGAGCAAAATAATCTATATGCCAGAGCAACATTGCCATAGGAACAATTGCTTCAAAAAAAAAAAATAGAACAGGAAACATAGAATTTAATCTTTCATTTACTTTCCCCAAGCGATTTGATGGGAGATAGGAAACAATCATTTGCAGAAGCAGAACCCTCCCATAAACAATAATGAAAATACCATCTTGTATTATAATGACACTTGATCCTTTTACCTTTTGGAATTAAAAAGTACAGACAGCGTAGAATTCATCTTTATAGTAACTAAACTTAAGTGCACAAATAGATTATTTTGGGCGAGATGAAGATTTTTGTAAAAAAATAAAATAAATGAAAGTATTGCAAACCTCACACACATTTAGTCCACATAACTGGTTGTTTGCCTAAGGCAACATCTAAGGACAACTGTTCTTCATTGATTGCTCAAGTGGAAAGAGTTTCAAGGACATTCATAAAAGCCATAGTAGGCAATACCATAAGACTTGCTCCTTCAACATATTCTCATTACATCTGAACTGGTCTGAGTTAGCTGTGTCCTACCTTTGCTCTTGATCAGGGTTGAAGCTTCTTTATTTCAGAAGGAATTCTTCCTTATCTTTCTTCCCCATGTCAAACTCTACTGACCTGACATATGCTGGGATTAAATTCCCTGTCTGAAGATATGGGTCTACCTGGTTTGTGTGAATGCCAATCTTAAACCTTCATTACTGATGTTTTATAAATCAAAGAACAGTTTGGTCCTCTCTTTTCTTCCACTTACGATTATGATTTGGCATTTTTTATTGTTTCCTTCATTTGCATGGGCACTTATTTCCCCCTTAGACTTTTATGGAAGATTTCATCTGAGAGAGTGAATCTGGAATCCTATACTAGATGGCCATTATTGGGCCATTTTGTTTCTTAGCAACTCATGGTGTAGTAAAACATTTAATCTTCTTCACTGTCACTTCTTCGGTGGCATGTCATAATTTACGGAACTCGGGGTTTGAAAATGATGACATCAACATCTAGATCAGATCTCAAGGCTCCTCTTTGGGTTAAGTGCTCATTATCATATTTGGAATATGGTAGAGTACAGGTCATAGAATCATTTTTTTCAAAGTACTAAACTTGTGGTTTAGTACTGCCAAAGTGATTTTATGAAATTTGGGTATGATTTTTGATGCCAATCAAGACATAAATTGGGATGGGCTAGCTGCAGAGATAATTTAGAAGATTGACTTCTGTTGCAATTTCATCGTGGGACACTATAAAGGAACTGCATGTATGCAGAACAGCCAAGAAAGCCATTAGAAAGTGAAACTGAATGAGGCCACTTAATTAGAAGATAGGGCATAAAGTATCTCCATGATCCAGAAATTTAAGATGGTGGTATGAATTTTAAAAATGAAGCTTTTTGCTTTCTGGACACAAAAATCATAAATCGTGTTACGGCTCATTTTGGTTTGAAAGGAGGGAGGAAAGGGAGACAGTGGAGGGGTAATTGAGTTGGCCAGTCATTTTCTTAAATGTGAAGTTGGACAAGCTCCAATTGCAGGCGTACTCTCCCTTGAGGGTAAGGAATGGACTGGAAACAACCTGAATTCTACATTAGTATTGTGCCTGGCACGTTATAGAAAGACACAATTTCCCAGCACATGTACTATTAGGGCTTGATACTAAGGCTTTGGTTAAGTCGCCACGGTGCCGGAGAAGAGTGTTTTGGGATCAAGGGAAGTGAAGTGGATTTTTCTGTTTCATCCAGAACAGTCGAGACGACTACTACTTTGCACAACAAGAACATTCAGGGAGGGCGTGTTGAAGGTTATATCAGAAGTGCAATTTCTTCCACCTTAATTTCAAGGTATTTTATAGAGAGTCACTTTATTAAAAACTCAGGATATATAAAATACAGTGTGTTTACCGTTACAGCTGGAAGCGATCATACTGAAGTGTATAATTTGGCTGCATGTTGCTTAGGAGCTTTCTGTGAAAAAAAAAATCTCATATCTCTACCTGTTTCCATATGAGCACATATGTTTTATTGAATGTGAGAAGTGACATTAGCAAGACAACATGCATGATTTAAACAGGGGTGGATTCTGGATTGGGGCCCATTTACTTTCAAATATTGACATCTATTATTCGGTGATAATTCACGGATCCCTAATGGTAAGACTGAGCCTGGCCAAATGGGGATTCCTGACTGGCTCTCCACCCATTTGAACTTTACTGTAACCTATGGTGTGTATGCTTTAAATTTGTTCAATTAGCAACAAAAGCAGCCAGCGAGCACAGAGACCCTCGAGGAAGGAGGGTTTTATGGCTTTGGAATTTTGTGGGCTCTTTGGACCTGTAATCCCATCTCAAACCTGAAATAGAGGTGGTTACCAACCAAAAAGAAACAATAGATGGAGATCTTGCTACACTAACATACTCCAATGCCTTCTCATTCCACAGCTCATATGGATTCTAACTGGGCTGTTTGGAGAAGAGCTCTCTCACACAGTCCTCTCTCTTTACCGCTAAGCAGCTCTATGCACTTAGATTTCATAGGCTTGAACCAGCACAAGGCCACCCAAATATAGCTTCAAAATGAGAAACGTTGCCTCAAAGGAAACCATTCAATAATCAACAATGTTGATTTGGACATGTCATATTTTAAAAAAGTCTTTGTTCACTTTTTTCCATTTGTATATGAGATATTTCTAGCTCCAGTAGATATTGTTTTTGAAATAGTATAAGAACTTTGCTACAAAGGACTGCTAACCACTGGAGACATCACCAAGATGATACATGTATCACTGCTATGATTCTTAGAACAGTTTAGCCATAGGTACAAAATTAACTATTATTAATCAAATTAGAGCCCACAGTGATATTTCTCTGTGTGTGCATGCAAACATGTGTGCATATTCATGTGTGCATATGTAAGGATGTGGTACACAGATAATGCACATGGCCACCAGAGGGTGCTCGTCAATGTTGTTTCTTGGGCAATGAACTTCTGGCATCTGCCTGTCTTTGCCTTCCAAGTATTGGGTTACAAGGACACTCCATCAAGCCTGGTATTTAACACAGGTGCTGAGGATAATAAAGCTTAGTCACTTTACTAACTGACACATATCTTTAGCACTTATAATGATATTTCTTAATAAACGGTATTATGTAAAATCATATTGCATTTCTGAATATGATGTTGGTGATAAAAATGTATCTCTTTTTCCTTGATGCTACTTAGTTCAAATCACTACTAGAAAATTAAATATTAAGTGTTTCCATTATTCTTTGAAATGCTTTGGTGATTCATTACCGTTCATTCAAAATTACTGAATGTTTCTAATATTCAAAATTTTATATTCATTACAACAATGTAAAAAGCCCACAAAGATACCTATGAATTATAGTCTGACTAAAATAACTTAAGTTTTTCCTGCTTTTGTTTGTGATATTTATCTGTACCTATCAAGATACAAGCACATAAATTCTTCAATATGATGAATTAATAATTACTAGTTCCTCATTTATGAAATGATATGGTCCAATATTTTCACTTGAAATGAATTCGTGGAAAATTAGTAGCTATTCGATAGTGAAAATGGAGACTGCTCCCTGTAAAACTTGGGGATAATGTGCTAGTATAGACACTTACCTCAGTCTAAGACAGAGCTAAAACTTTGCTCCTATTCTCTGGTCTTTTCCTTCAAAGTCAGGAGAGTAGCCCACAGGAAAGTCATTGACCAAGAATGTGTAAAGCGGGGGATTTTTAAGCATTTGCTCCAGCATCTCCTGATTTTCCCACAATTCCACCAAGGATTTTTGAAACTGATGCCAACACATTGCGACTATGAACAAGGGGCCTGCATTTCAAGAAGGTAACAGATCTTGCAATCTGTGTTCAAGTGCTATGTGTAGTGGTGGCTCTCCTTTAGCGTACATAAAATAAGACTATTCTAGACACCTAGTAAATCAAATAAAAATTAACCAAGGAATAGCAAGAGTGTCTTGTGATGCTGTCCAAAGCGCCTGCAGAGAAAACAGGGTAATCACGGTCGGGGACAGTGCCCGTGCTTTGTGTACTAACTATTACTTTTTAAATGCTCATTAGTGTCACTGCCATTGAGAAGTTTCCCCAGCAGAGGGAAGCACAGCTTCATTATTAATATCATAAACTGAAATAGGGAGAAGGAGCTTGCATTCCAGTGATATATTTTAAATGGAGGTTGGCTGATGTTTCAGATTAAATAAGCAACTGTGTCGTTTAACAAGTCTTAATATCTTGTAGAAAGCATACAGTGTATTGACTCCAAATTGCCCACTTCAAGGAAATATACAATTAGTATTTTAATGTAAAGACATTGCTTCCTTGTCCATCTGACTGAAACAGAAAGAGTATACTGGCTTAGCATCATTGGCATATAGATATATGGCTTCTTGGTTGATTTTAACATAATTTTTTTAAGTTTGTTTGATATATTTTAATGAATTTCTGTTGCCCATCCCTTTGGCAGGCTAACATGTAAAAGTAGGTCCATAGACCTGGCTTCTCTTTGTCCATGTAAGAAATTTGAGTTTTATATCTCATAGAAATCTAAAATCTTGAATTTCTTATACCTGTGATCATAAAGCTACTCCTGTTTTGTGCATTCTTCAACATTTTTTTCCCATCAGACCATATTTCCGTTAAGCATTTGAAAAGATGTATGCGCTCATGGCACTTGAAGATGAGAGGGTTAAAGACAAGGAGTGTGACTTACCATGGTGTTGTAAGTCTGAGCAGTGGGTTAGCGGGTCTCCATTTCTTATGTCTTGTCGTCTTGTGCGTCTAAAATAATTATATTTAAGAGACATTATTCTATCTCTGTTTTTCCAGTCAGGAATTTCTGATATGAATGAAGAATCAAATCTTATTGACTACTACAGACAATAAAACAAGACATGCATTTGCATCCGGTGTGGCTGTGTGAGGGGTTAAAGGTGATCAAACTGGAAATACAAGATCCTCAATTCCAGCAACTACAGCCCAAGGTCTTTAAACTGTTTACTAGCAGACTTCCTTGCCTGTTTTCTACCAGGTATCCATCAACAATAATCTAACACCGGGAATCTCTGACCTTAATTTTATATGAAATGAAGTATAATATATTTAAACAGCAACTCATTTATTCAATAAACATGATTGAACTACTGTCTAAACATGATTGGACTATTGTTCTCATCATCAACGTGGTTGTAAGCTTGAAAACTAAAATTCACATGAATGATGATTTCCCTTACTGCTCAAACCTATTTTTAAAATATACTGTTGTCTAGCTTTCAAACATTTAAACCAAGAATTCTTTCTTTTATTGCCTTTTAATTTTGTTATATCAGTATTTATTGTGTATCATTTGATCTTTTGTGGAAATAGGATTGAATTGAGGGCCTATTGTATTGCTCTATCATTAAAGTATACCTCCAACATGGGCTCCTTCTTTGTTTTAGATAGGGTCTCATCCTATAGTCATGGCCAGTCAGCTGGGATTTCCGGTACATACCACCATGATTGCCCTATCCTATGGTTATGATTGCAAATCCGTTTGTTTGTGCATTGGAGAGAGTAGAAACACAACCAAAAATGTTAAACCTAAAGGTAAGTTCTCCTTTTGCTAGGAGAATGGGTGAACCAAGATGGCCTTCTCTTTCACAGAAGAGAAGAATGTACATATCACACTAGAGTTCATGTTCTTTCCAGGGTTCTCAAACTGTACGTGAAGAGTCCTGCAGTTAGACATACTTGGAACAGGAGCTGGCCTCCTGCTACCCTATACAAAATAGATATGAAAATGGAGAGATAAGAAATATAGAGAATGGCTGTATGGAACACACATGGAAAGTCTGGTTGTACTTGACCAATTTTATTTTCTTTTTTCATCAATTTAAAGGTATTATCTTACAATAAAATTAGTTACCATCCTTGAAAAGGAGCGCCTTTATTGGTCATTGAGAACTGTCAACATGGAATTCATTACAGTACCCATGAATTTAGAAGTCAAAAGTATTCAAGGATTTCTATTTGTGGAAAGAGTGAGACTATCAAACAGATGTGCACATTTGAAAATTGAGCCAGAAAGAGAATTGTGAAACCTGAACCTTAGAGCACTGGGAAAAGTCTTTCTCAATGCCCAAGCTTTAAAAGCTGCTCTCAGAGCATCTACATGGTATAGGGACTCTACCACACTCCTCAAACACGTATCTAGTGTGAGACACGTGCAGTTAGATCAAGTAAAATCTGGGAGTCACAAGAAGAACAAAAGCCCAAGTGAAACACTTTTGGTCTTAATTTGTGTGTGTGTGTGAGAACCACTTTCAAATATATACATACTAGTTTTAAGTGATAGTTGTTATCTTTATCTCTTTTTTCTCCTTCTTTGATAAGACATACTTAAAATTCAAACATCTCTTTACCAAATTTTGTGAAGCTCTTCATTATTATTTAAATTAAAAATGCTCCTCATTTTAAGATCAAATATGAATTCCATATGTACATTTGAGTAACACAACAGTCCCCTAGAGCTAAATAGCTTTAAGAAGAACAAAAATTTAACCTTAAGCAATTCATAACTGCCACAGTAATGAATGCATATTGTAATGTATTGAACTATCCATAGTTTCTTTAATCAATATACATTATCTTCGAATTCAGCTAGTTTTTTCTACCATAAAATTCCAACAGATTATGAAAGCACTAACCATAACACTTAAATCTAGAATTTTGCAAGATTAAGAAATCTCTGTATGTACATGGTCTGCATTAAGAATATTTACATTTAGTATCGGTGTGATTCTGTGTTCCAGTTGTATGTTAATATAATGAAGTTACTTTGTTGGTGAATGTCTTTACAAAGATATACTTTATAAAGATATACAATTTATTTGTTGTATGTATGTGTTTGTGCATCTGTGTATTCATGGATGTACCCTGAGACCAGAAGAGGGAGTTGGAGACTCTGAATCTGGATTTACACATGGTTGTGAGCCGTCTATATGGGGCTGGGTACTGAGCTGGGTGTGGTCCTCTGTAAGAGCAGTAAATCCCTAACCACTGAACCATCTCTCCAGGCCCAGTGGTGGATGATTTAATAGTAAGACAATGTTATCTAAAACACCAATGAAAATATTTAAGTGGATGTTAGGATAATGCTTTCCTATTATATTTGTAATATTCCAATGTTACAGAACACACTTCAACCACTGCAAAAGGCTGATATACAGAGCTCCTTTGGAAATGCTGTCCATGCTAAAACAAAGTTAGATTGCTCCTAAAGTGTACTGGTTTAGGGATAATGGTGACTTCCTGTTTGAAGAGGTCAGTGTGCATGGTAGTAGACTTAAAGGCACATTAGCAAATTTCATATTTTTTTATTCATCCATTATTATATCTTCCCAAAACAGTAAGTATCAATAAAGAAAGGCAGCTATCAACAAAGAGTAGAGAATATAGTTATATTACTGCTTTGTCAAATTAAGAACTATTTTTATTTTATTAAACACTAGTGAATTAATCTGTTTGCAATTTTAGGATGTATATAACAGTTCTTTGTAATATGAGAGTACGTCTTGAAAAAAATATTACATTAATTGATTATATTACCATTCTGTTTTATTGTTTTTATTTTAAAATTTTATATACAATGGATTTTATCATATTTTTGCTTTTTCTCAAATCCCCCTTCATCCTTGCCATTCTTTAAGCATTGAATCTTGCATAGGAAGCTGAAGTTTTGCAAATTCTCTATGTGTTGTTCTCAGTCAACTTTTGTTTGCACTTGTCTGCATTGCGTATGCTGTAAATGTATTTTGAGCATATAGATGTGTGTGTGTGTGTGTGTGTGTGTGTGTGTGTGTGTGTGTGTGCCTGTACTCTTGTGTAGGTCAGACCTTAGCAACGAGTGTCTTTCTCTGTTGCCCTCCACCACTACATCTTCACCACCACCATCATCATTATCATCATTTTGAGACAGAGTTTGTCATGAACGAAGAGCCAGAAGAACTCTGATTTGTCTGACACCAGAGCTCACCAATTTTCTCACAGAGAAACTGATCAGCGAGCTCCCTGGTCCCTCTGTCTCTGTACTCCCTACCCTCAGCAGTATAGACGTGGGACTTTTTACCAGGCTTTCCCCTGGGATCTGGGGTTCTGAACTCAGGTACTCGTGCAATAAGCACGTATGCACTGAGCACCTTTCCTGCACCTGTCAATAATTTTCAAATCGAACAATAATTTTTATTTAGCAAATCCCTGTAAAAGAACTGTAAGTATTATAAAGATAACACTCAAAACACGTAAGTAGTATATACATACATACCCACATGTGCAAATGAGATCTGATTATGTAGCTTTATGCTTCAAGTTAAGGCTCTATAAACACAGGATGATGTAGGAATAACAGGGACATATAATTATTGAGGTGAATAAGGAGATATATTTAGGAATATATTAATGAATATTAACCCATATTAATACACCGAGGACACCAGTGCAATGTTTTTAAAGATAGGAAGAAACTCTTGGCTTTCACTGTATCTGTGTGTATGTGTGTCTCTATGTATTGAAACAGTGAAGCATGTGCCCCATTGCATAGCCGCACACGTGAAACTGGGGTGACAGCCTCGTGTTTCAGAGCTCTTCTCCCCCTGGGCTTGAAGCAGGATCTTTGTTGTTTGTTGAATATGCACAGCAGGCTGGCTGACTTGCTCTGTCTCCTGTCCCATCTCACTCACTACAGAAGCACTGGGAATACAGATGTGCACACCACATCCAGCACATGTAGATTTGGGGAATCACACTCAGCACCTCACACCTTCATGACAAGGACTGTACCCACTAACACACTGACCCAATCATCATTTTCACTGTTTAGGCTTAGGATCTTCTATATTCCTTGGATTCCATAAAAGCAAATGAACTCCGGTCTGTTAAGAAATTTATTTTCATTTGGTAACATAAATGGCCTTATTAAAAACGGGCCATAATACCTCTAGATAGATAAAAGTAGATAGAACATTGAGTTCAAAAGGCACAAGGCCCAGACTTAGCTCTATTTTTTCTTCATAACTTTTTTGGAATTTTGGCCCAATTTCTCCCCTTTTAAAATAAAACTGCAAATCTAAGTTGCAATGGTAGGAATTTAGGGATATTGTGTTGCTGTCCTAAAAGTCCTTCAGTTATTGGTTCTCATTTAGGATTCAACTTTCCTACTATTCATCCTTCTTCTTGTCTTGTGTTTTTTAGAAAATGGGAAAACAAAACAAACAACAGCAAAGTAACAATAAAAGTCCTGTCATGTTTCTACCTCAAATCTCTCTTTAATTGCACAGAAAGGCAGTGCGCTTCTTTATAAAGGGTTGTTCTAGAAAGCAAATCAGTAAGTCTGCGAAGAAACATTGTATTTCTCCTTTGTTGTTCGCCTTACCTTTTGGCAGTGGGAAAGTAGCGGGAGCATGATGACCCATCCCAGGCACAGTAAGGGTCCCGGGCTAGGCAGCATTCGGCACAGGCTTTGCCATAAATGTCACAGCGATGCAGAGGAAGCTGGACGACCCCAGCAGCTGAGCCGATGTAGAGCTGTTGCTGTGGATGAGTTAAGAAAACACTCGTTGGGCTCTCTTTTTTAAAACTATCATGTTTAGACTCATTAATAATACATTATATTTATGGATCATAATTGTTTAGATAGTTTCTAAAGGTCTAGCAGACAGTACAGTTTACAGTGAAGTAGAAACCAATTCTAAGCATCTGACTGCAACAGGAAAGAGAGAGATGGTTTTCCCTCACTAGAGAATTGATTAATGATATAGTAAGCCTCAAGTAAAAATTTTATGTAAATGCTATGCCAGAGGACAGGTCCTTGGATAAAAGCCACTGTTGCCAAGCCTAATACTCTGATGGAGGCTGTAGGGACCCACATGACGGAGGATGAGAACCGACATTCCCAAACAGTTCTCTGTCCCTCACACCTGAAAACTGCACTGTGACATGCCCCCACAACATGAATAAAAACACAAGTTTTTTAAAAATTTATGTGAATACGGAGACATGTAATAGTCCATAGGCAAAAGACTTTAAACTTTCCTAGGATATGGATGAAAACTGAGTTTTAGAACAACTTCATTGTGAACAATAGGATGTCATTTGACGTAAATTGCTTGATAGTCAGAAATGGACACGTTCAACTTTGCTTTTCCAGAGACTTTCACTTACAGACTACACATGTGTGTGTGTAAGTTGAATGTCCACTAATGTGTTTAATGAAATTTAAGAAATTATTAAGGAGTGTTTTTATAGATAATAGGTCAGTGCTTAAAGCTAAACAATATTTTTATAAAAGAATAGCATGAGGTAAGAATAACAAATCCAGTTCCTTGTACATACATTTTCCTTGTTAAATATTGCTATTTTAAGAAATACAATAAATAAAATTATTATGCATATTAATAGATATTTAATTTGTTTAGTCATATTCATTTTAGTGTTATCCTGAATGAGTTTGTAAATAAGCACAGATAAAATTGGTTTTTTTTCTTAGTAAGAGAATATGTTTTATCTTTTTTAATATAAGGAACTTAGATATCCACTGTAATAAAAATGAGGCAGATATACCATACTTAGCAAATGTGAAATTACTTAGGGCTCTGTAGCCATAGCCAGAAACACAGTTGACAACAACGAACATGAACATGATGGCACTGACATTAATATCCTAGGCCATTTTGATACTTTTGAGACAGTTTCAGATAGCCTAGGCTATCCTTATTCTCCAGGATCCTGTGCCTTCATTCCAATCAAATGTTTGGACTATCGGTGTTGCACCTAACCCTGGTTTTGTGATCCTATTTGAAAGGGTCAGTGACCAAATTGGCCATGCTATCAAAAGAACTTATGCTTGCCTAATAATGTTTCAGAAGCATATGCCAAATTCATAATTATAGATTTATGCGCATAGAGCATTGGAGTAGGAAAAGAACTGCCCAGACCAAGTATCTATATCTGACATTTGCCTTTGGGGAAAAATAGAAAAAATGTACAGTAAAAAGAGAAAAAGCAAAGTGAGGAGAGCCGTCAAATGAGATATGGTTATGAAAACCCAAACTCCAATAAATTGTCCCAAATTAAATGCAATTCAATCTCATTTTGATTTCATCATAATTCTCCAGGATTACTAATGATACATAAAATAATCATGCTATTCACAGAAAGCATAGTGACTAGCAGGCATCACTGAGCATAATCCAGTGACTAGCTAGAAACCTGATGTGCTTTTTCTGCCCAATTTAACATCACCGTAGGAGATTTCGCTAGTCTCCTCATGAGATGAGGGCCACGAGCAGGATGTGATTTCACTATCTAGAAGGTTAGTTATATCGTCACTCGTCCCCCCTAAAATGCTGTCTCACTTTAAAAATGCTTCTAACAGTGGATGAAATTGAGTCCTATTGAGTGAAATCCATCTTCGCTCTATCAAGGATTCTTTTACTGTGGTAATTCAAAATGGCATTTTTTTTAGTTGACTGTTATATTAATGGGAAATATTTTTAAATGTTTAAATTCTTAATTATTTTCAAACAGGATGTTTTGCTAAATTGGATTTAGAGGTGATTCGGTAAGGATCGGCTCTGAAGTCTAGCAGGGAATAAATATAAATAAATACCTTTAAAATCATTACAGGAAAGGTTATCCCCGTCTAGCTTCCATTCTGGAAAGCCCCGGATTTCCTTGCCAACATGTGACAGTTTTTAGATATGAAGAACAGGTGAGTAACATGTTAATGAGGTGTAAGATAGCAGTATCGTGCCAATAACGTCTGCACTCTGAGGTTAAATGTCTTGGAGATTATCGATCTATTTTCATACATCTGTGTGGAAAGGCACACGTTGCATTTTGTTGGCACCATGATTTAGTGTTTTGTTCAAGGGGCAGAACACTGTCAAAGGCAGGTCACGCAAATATATCAGAAATAACGATGACCAACTGACTATCATATTCATGGTTCTGTATCCAAGCTTTTACAGCAGGGAAGAATGTCCTCATTCACTGCCATTTTTATATGTTGACTTATTAATGTTCTGTATACCCATTTATTTCCAAAATTGTCATTCATATACTGGATATAATTTGTTAGAAGTCACACTCTGAGTCACATCCATAGTTATTGAGAAATCACCTGTTTTTCTTGTGTGTTTTGTCAAAACATCCATTTGATATGAAGGAAAGACTAAACGTAAGTGGCCCTTAAGCTCCGAATTCTGGCAAGCCAGAATATTCTACTAGGTAGTGATTAGTTGTATGTTTAGCTGAAGTGAAAGCCACTTTTTCTGTTCTCACCATACAATACTACTGAAGGTAGGTGTTTCTTTTTAAGCTAAGTTATTCCAAACATAATAACCAACAGCTCTAAGATGTATAGGATTTTATTAATCTGCAAAGCACAGAGGTACAATTTTCATTCCATTCGCTTATTAGACTAGCAATACTTCTTTGCTCTTTGATTCTGTCCAGTCTATAAAATGTGATGGATGATAAATAGATCTATCAAGTACAAAGTCAAAACCAATGAAACATACTACTGACTGCAGCGTCTTATGATTGTACCTGTTTCGTAGAAAGCTCCATTGCCGATATAGTTGTGGGTTCCTAAAAAAAGAAGCAAAAGGAGTGTATGATAAAAGAGAAAAGATAATGTGTAATTGATTAGCACACTTACTAAGTTCTCAGAGAAATGATGTCACTGTTGACAACAAATAGCATAACTGGAAATAAGATGTGTGAAAGAAGCCTGAGAGCTAAGTGCTAGATATGCGAAGCCAACAGTGGGGGTCCAGTAGCACCATTGGCATAAAAATCCTTAGGGATCCTGACTGCAGCTGGGCACTTAGAGAACGTCTCAGTGGGTCCATAGAAGTCAAGAAGAAGTAAATTCTCTCCTTCCCTTTCCTTACTTATTTCTTTAACTGCACTTTCCTCTGCTTCGCCTTCTATTTGTTTTCCTTGGTCCTTTGGTTTAGGTGTAATCCGGGCGCTCTAACCTGAACGCCATCAGGTCCATTCACGCTTTGACCTCTACTACAGCCAGCCCTTCCTCCATTAGCTTTCATTTTCAGGAGCAGAATTTGCGAGTGCAATTCCATTGTGCCTCCAAATCACTTATTGATCATTTCCTCTTAGCCTTTCTCATCATCTGTTCTGTGTCTTCCTTTCAGTCCGAACAGGTTCACCTTCCCCCTCCCATTTTTCCCATTCTGCCTTATGTTCACGGAGCTGGGCAGGCATGGCACTGCCCACCCCACATGCAGAGGCAGAGCTCAGACGCCCCACTTCAAACCCGATGGCAAAAATTCGCACATGAGTTTCTTAACAACTTATGTACAATCTGCCTAGTGTACAAGTGAAACAAATTATTAAGGATGTGTGGTAATTCAGTGGGCTAATTTAGAGATTTTTAATACTTTTCTATTTTACAGTTTAGGTGAGTGATGGTAACTATTAAATATAATAATGATTTCTCAAGGAATTATCAATCACAAAAACAACTATGAGGCAAACAATGCCAGCCCATTGTGTCTACATAGAAAGGGTATGTTTACTATTTAGTATTATCAAGCCATAAAAAAACAAATCTGTATTTCATCAAAAATACTCTGTTTTAAGGCAATTTTTAGGTTCTACAATATTGGAACAAGTTAACTAATAAAGAAATTAAATGTGTCAGGAAACATTTCCATGGCGATTTCTCCCCCTCTAACCATTTCACATGAGAATTTCTCATTAGACTAAAGAAATAACTGAGTTCATGCGGATTTATATAGAAGAAATTTTATAGTCAAGCTTGTTCAAGGCATTGAAAGTTAACACCCACAGCAATAAAATATGAGGTCTAAGTTCTTTTTGAAATAAAGTTGAGTGAATTTTCACTTCCTATTTACTGACAATACAAAAGCAAAAGCATTTGTTACGCAAAGGAGAATGGGTTATCATATGTAAATTGTAAAACGTGAGACAAACTCGAAAACACATCAGATTTTATGAAGATGTATTATGCCAACATTCAAGATCAAGTTCATGGCATCCTTTATTAATATAACCTTATTTATTTTTTATGCCAGGAAGTTAGGAATAGTTTAGAATATGGCCTACAACTGAATTAATGCACAATATATTACAGTGACATCCATTTAAATAAGCTGTCATTTTCCTGAGAAATAACTGGTGGAGAATATGACTTCCCTTTACAACAGATGCAGCTTCATAACCATTTTTTTCCATGAAATTGCAAATTCGATTGTAAATTTAATTGGTGTTCATGGTTAAGAAAGTGAAACAAGAAACAGCATCTTTTCAAGATTCTCTATGATTCCAATTTGTGATATATCTCCCAGATATTTTACTTTAGTGCTTATTAAACTTTTTCACTTTCGGAGCTCTTCCACGTGCTGACCCTGGGAAATTCGGACATAGCTCACACTAGAAGCTCCGAGTTGGGAAGGAAGCTCCCTTACAAGTTAATAGGCTGGGCTTGGGAAAGCATCAATTACGTTTTACATTTGAATGAAAATTAAACTCTCTCATTTGTTTGCTCAGCTGTTCATGGAATATTGCATAAATTGGGTTTAAAATGCAAGTGTTATTGATGTAACTGCCTTGCAATCCTCTGCAGCCAATAGGACTATAAATAAAGCCCTTTTTCCCCAAGGCACCATGGCTGGATGTGGCACCTCACTGGCTCAAAAGGAAAGCCCATTGGAAGGATTGGAAAGAAAAAGCCATACTGACTAGTCAAGGTGAAAAATCACTACGTGTCTTGCTTTTTATACATTATTTAAGAAAGGACAAATGTAAGGGAGCCCAGCATTCTAGAGCAGTTTTTTAAGGGTGTAACTATTTCCCAATAACTAACATTTACCAGCTAGCTTAGTTTTACTCTAAAAGGAGACTCTTTAACACTTATATTTGCAGTCTTCATCATAAGAAGAAGTCGATGCTCCACTAACTAAGCAGGTCCCTCAGGAGCACACAGCAAACTCTCAAACTCAGATGGTTGCTGGCGAAGCCCATTTAGAATCTGGCTGTGTGTTGGTGCTGCTGTGCTATTTTGAATATTTACTAGCAGGTGTGTTAGTTTCTGAGACTGACACCAATGCCAATTCTACTTCTTAGTGCTTAGTGTCTATTAAAAGATTTACTCTGAAATGGAAGTTTTATTGCCAAAGAATATTTTTCTTTCTATACACTGATTGGGATGTGATTTCACGCCAAATAAAAGTATCTTGTAACCAAAACCACTGGAATGTTCTGTGATTAGCCAGTGTTTTCCTAAAACAGATCTCAAGATGGCAAGTGGTATGTAGTGAATTTAATCCAAGAATTTATGAGTTATTCAGTATAAGAGTCATAAGAACATGGTCTCATGGAGGTGGTAATATAAGTAAATTGAACTTTACATTAAATGTGTTTAAAGATTATAAAAGAGTACCACCCAGAATCATGACCTTAAATCTTTCTCTTGTGTATTTACCCTATCAAGCTAAGGTGCAGCTCAGCTGACCTTTTTTTTTTTTTTTTTTTTTTTTTTATTTTTCGAGACAGGGTTTCTCCGTAGCTTTTGGTTCCTGTCCTGGAACTAGCTCTTGTAGACCAGGCTGGCCTCGAACTCACAGAGATCCGCCTGCCTCTGCCTCCCGAGTGCTGGGATTAAAGGCGTGCGCCACCACCGCCCGGCTCAGCTGACCTTTTTAAACTGCCTTTTATTTTATATGGAATGACACTAGTGTCAAATAGAAACATAGGCAGTGTAACATTTTCCTGCTTTTCATTGTATGTGGCTATCGCTTCAATGTATTGTGGTTTTTCTTTTTACTGTCCCCCACTGCAAAACTAAACAAAGCTTGACAGTGAAATATTCCAATTGCTAGCCCACACTATATGTAAGAACCTTGGCTGATAGACTAGAATGCTGAAAGTAAATATTTCTGTACACTCTGCCCATAGATGTTTTGTCTGCTTGAGTGCCAAAGAAATAATCGTGACAATATGGACAGCGAAGACCGGGAAGAAAATACAACAGCTTCCCTGAAAGGAGATATATTTCCAGTTGCAGGCATTTTCTAACACAGCTGAGATACAGGAACAGTTATTTCTTCTACAGCACAATGGCAATTGTTCAGATTTGCGAGAGGCTGATAAAGAGTTCTTCTCAAGACAGCTTAAATGCCATAGATAGGGGTCCTAGTCTTCAATGGTGGAAATTTGAAATGCATTTCTTTGAAAAATCTCCCAGTAAGAACAAAATGTAATAATACTAAATATCTACAACTATATCTATATCTAGACATTAGAGCCAAGTCTCTTGTGAACAGCAGTAGAGAGGGTGCCTGAAATGGCCTTGTTCCATAGTCACACTGATGATTATTTCGAATATCACCATAGAACCTTTGTCTGGTGACGGATGGAGAGAGAAACAGAGACCCTCATCAGAGCACTGGACTGAGCTCCCAAGGTCCAGTTGAAGAGCAGACAGAGGGAGAAGATGAGCAAGGAAGTCAGGACCGCGAGGGGTTGGTCCTCCCACTGAGACAGTGTGCCTGTTCTAATGGGAGCTCACCAAGGCCAGCTGGACTGGGATTGAACGAGCATGTGATCGAACTGGACTCTCTGAATGTGGCAGACAATGGGGGCTGACTGAGAAGCCATTGAGAATGGCACAGGGACTTATTTTTACTTCATGTACTGGCTTTTTGGGACCCTAGTCTATTTGGATGCACACCTTCCTAGGCCTGGATGGAGGGGGGATGGCCTTGGACTTCCCACAGGGCAGGGTACCCTGACTTCTCTTAGGACTGGAGGAGGAGGGTGGAGGGGAACAGGAGGGGAATGGGAGGAGGGGAGGAAGTGGAAATTTTTGAATTGAAAAATTATATATATGGTATCTATATCTGCAAATCTTTTGGCTCCCATCATGCTCTTTCTAAAAGCCATTTTAGCTTAAACTCCTTTGAAATTGAATTTTTTATTAAAATATATCAAGGAATAAAGATTAAAATGTGCAATGCAAACCTCAGATTCCAGATGCATTAAGAAGGAAATTTAGCTACAATATAGAATTACTACCCAAATATACATGACTTATTTAATTAATAAAACAAGAAAATAAGGAAAATTTAAGAAAATTATTTATAATTATCATAACATGACTAAAATAATTCTACCCAATAAAATTTAGTTCTACTAAGTGATAACAGAAGGTCATTGAAACTGAAGTGTATAACACAGAAGGTCCATTTAGTTCCAAGTGGTTAGAGAATATGCTTAGGGTGATCACCTCTGTCTTTCTGTCTCTCACACACATATGCACATGACTGAATTTTTGTAAAAGCCTGATCCTAGGAACGGTAAGGAAAACACAAAGTCTGTGAGTCATTAAGTGTCAATAAGGGTGCTGCGCTAATGTCACCCATGACTTCATTTGCAACGGTTACATTAATAATTCATTTTAAAGAAAGACTTTTCCCCTTTCTATCAGAGAATAATATGGAATCAGATTACCAGGATTACATGGTACTGTTTCTAATGCACCTTTCCCATTATTCTCCAATCTTTACTCAGGTCCTTACAATCTTTATCTTATTTAATTTTTGCATCAGTAATGTTTCATTTGTTTCAATAATAAATATTGGCTGCATTTACATCTTAGGCTTTAGACATATAACTATGAATACCAGGCATCCATTTATGAGTTTTGCCCACACTGCCCATCATTTGTTTGCTAATCTAAGTGGACCCTGTAGTGGGTGACAGCCCATTTGGATAACTGTAGTTTTTGATGTATAAGTTAAAGTTCCACAGTGCTTGCTTTTCAAGGTAACTCACTTGGAACAGTGAACGGTAAGATTCAGTTCACACTCTATATTCAGCAATTAAATATAGCCAAAAGAATCAACTTTTAAAAATCAAAATTTGATTTCACTATTTTGAATATTTAGACTAAGACCATGCAGAACATTTATAAGGAAGTCTACTCATGTTCAGCTTAGATAACCAAAAACAATAAAGTAATAAATACTAATGACATTTCATCTGAGCGTTGTGGCACTGCTTAGAATCCCAGTGCTCAGGTAGTGGAGGCCGTAGATCAGAGGCTCAATGCCATCCTCAGCTACACAGTGAATTCAATGCAAGCCTGGCAAACTGGGGACATTGTCCACAAAAGAAAACAGAAGCAGCTACAGTGACACTAACTAGCCTGATCGTATGTGGGCCACAATGCTGTCACTGTCCCTATGCTTTAAGCATGGGTCACTGGGTGAGGTAATATAGTCAATATTTGGCAAATAAGAGTTTTAGAGAGACTGTGTGAAGCTAGGATCGCTATGTAGGCTAAAGTGAGGCTTCTAAACTGTCCAGTAGAAGATTATCCAGCGGCTATTATCAAAGATCTATCCCAGTGTACCAGGGGCATGCTTGAATGACAGTCCTTCATTTTCCTGCAATTTTGACTTCATTTTCTCAATCTAAGACAACTGAACAGTGATTCCCTGGTCTATGAGCTAAGGGTATCATATCTAAGTAAGGTGCTGAAAGGAGTGAGGTGCACTTAGCTTCATCATTAAAGGTTGAATCAACCGAAAACAATAATCCATATACGTGTGAGTATGTGTATATAGTTATGGATATATGCCAGTGTGACACAGATGGAGTTCAAATGATATCGTATGAAATCGTGGGACTACAAACAGTATTTCCACCCTTCCTGTCTACTTCTTTCTTAGCATTCAAGTTTAAATTACATTTTTTAATTTGTCAGTAAGTACCCACTGTATTATCAAAATATTTTCAGAATGTTATTTGACTTATATGTAATTCATATCAAAATATGATCCCTGTTCAAAGTCTTCCAGTTAGCAAAGGCTCATAGATGAGAAACAAGTATGATACCTATGTTCATTTATTTCCCGTGTCCCTGCTCCAACCTTAGCGTACCTGATGCCTGAAGGGCCTACCTAGACTGTTGGTGACTCAGGAAAATGTGACAAATACTTGCTCATTTTTGAGGTTTGAAGAGTAAGCACCTATAATTTATTGTCTGTCGCTAACATAAGCCTTACTTACTCAAACTTATCACTGATTTTCTTAAGAAAATACTATAAAATAATCTATAAATTTCTTCCTTCAGCATGCTGAATGTATCTCCCAGAATGCACTGAGTTTACATATCATGTCAAATATTCTATAAAGTGCAAGAGAAGGCAGTTTGAATAGGGAGGATTTGATCTTCAAGGTAACTTATACAAATAATAAAAAATGTAAATCATATATTTTGTTATTTATAAAAGAAAATATGAGCCAAGAATTTTTACATTCTTACGTTTAACTGCATTGACACTGCCAAGGTCTAGTTTGATTAGTGTCTGTTTTCATACTTGACAATCTAATTAGAAGTATCTACAAGAGCACTGTCCACAATGACTTTGGTATCCCAGCTGTCTTGGGGCATAGATAGCAGCTGAACATTGCAGATGCAAATTAGGCAGTACTCACCCTGAAGACTGTCATTTCTTCCAGAAGAACTTCTTCTAAGTCATGCCACGTCTCCTTGGGGACTGAGACCACCTTAAGGACAGTCCCAACATCTTTAAAAGAAAGCAGAGGGAAAGGTTACAATGGAATTAAATTAGAATGGAGTTCACCCTTAATGGGACAATAAGGAATTTTGTAGAGAGGTTTTTGTTTGTTTGTTTGTTTTCATTTTTATCTTGTGGAATAGAAAGTATGTGTGTTAGTCACAGCATACAGAGAAGAAAGCTCAGGAGAAAACTTCTGGAAGTCAGTTCTTGCAATACACTTTGTTGGAGGTGGCTCTCTTCTGTTGTTTGTGAGGCCTTGCTTCCTACTCCAGGTTAACTGGATTGCAGGCTTCCCACCCTAAACTTTACATCTCCCCAGAGAAATTCTTAGATATTCTTATAACACACTTTCCCATGTCTTCTTGTGTCTGGACTCAAGTTCTCAACTCAAGCATAGCAAGTACTTTTACACACCTAGCAATCTCCCCAGCCCCACCAATTTTTTTTTCCAGCCCAACTCTTTGTATTTATTTTCCATGTGTTGGGTACATTCGTAAAATTCTACATACAAATGAATTTCATGCACTTAGACTCTGAACTATAAAGATACCCATGGGACATAAAAATCAAGAAGAATTTAACATGAAAGTGTAGAAATTTCCAAAAATATAATAAACATAATAAAATGGCTAAGTTGGATAGTTTTTTTAATTTAAAATTTTGGACAAGTCAGACTTTTCCCCTTTTATTTTGACACCAGTGTATGTCCACAAAGACTCTACAGATTTGAATTGTAATGAACACCGCCCATCCCAAATACAAGAGCCTCCGAGTTTAGCAGCACAACCATCTCCTAGAAGCAGCCATATTTAGTGGCCCTTAAGGTAGGCTCAATGATACTGAAGTGATGAATGTCAATGTCATCTCTCAAAGTAAACACTTCTGATTACCACAACAGTTTCTCTACAATATGCACACTTAGAAATTAAGTTTACAATCTTGAAAGTTAAATTCAGGAATTAAATTGAAAAGAAATTGATCTCATTTTATCCAGATTTAAATTACTTTCTAATTTTCATTATTAAGAGAAAAATGTTGCAATGAAAACATCTGTCATTTTCACCTGAAATTTTATTTATGCAATGTGAATTTTCCTGTGTGGCTGGTGTGATTCCACTCTTTGTTCAAAGGCAAAGATATTGAGTCTAAACAATTTTAGTATTTAGTAAATTAGATCAATTCTTTGCAGCCTCAGTTGGTTTATTTTAACAAACTTTTCCTTTTTCCATAGAAATTCTTACCAATAAGAATATAATAATAATAATAATACCAGAAATATTAGTTAGTACATCGACTCTATTGGCCACTGTCCTCAGTGGATTGTCTCATTGTACTCTGTGATCAAGGCTATTCCTTTTAAAGTTAAAAAAAAAAGTCCACTTTTAAGAGGATCCTTCTGTGTTTATAGGACCTTAGCCTGCTCAGAACACCAAAGATTAAAGGGAAATTAGGTTAATCTACTTAGTGACTCCATTGGGTCTCCTGGACCCAAACACAACTTTATCTCTGTTCCAGATCAAGTTTTACCGAATAGTATTTCAAACAATTTCACACAAATTGAATCAGATTACTCAACAAGGATCAATGCTCTATGAAGTGAAACTTAGTTAAAAGATACAATTACTGTAATCAATTTCCTTGCTGACAGATGACCCTGGTCTGGACTGACCTACAACGATCAACGGCACCCAACGTTCAACATCCTCGTGAAAAGGGGGGTTATAAAGGCAGTTTATGTCCTAGAGGAACTAAATGTTCATGATCGGTTTGCTTTGGTCAAACACCCAGAAGCAGGCTTTGTTGCTCTGAGAGCGAATAAGGGACTTCTGAACTAAGGATGGCGAGCAAGGCCACAGTGACATTATTGAACAAACCCAATTACTCTGCAGAGATTCAATTACAACTTGACATTAAAAGAGAAGCTAATATTTACTGGGAAGAAATATTTTCTTCTATTGCTTGATTTATTTGTAAGCTGCGGGCGCTACACACAGTCACTGACTTTTATGGAACTCCGACTCTCATTAAGATTCGTTCATTTGGTGGAAGAATGTTCTCTGTAAAAAGGGTCTTTAATGTATTGCTAAGAACCCTGACACTGTTAAACATGATGACGTCAGGATTTCACAATTAAGGTATGAATCTTACAGTAATTTACCACACATTTTCTGTTCTGCTGTAGTCAACGTAATTTTCTTTCTGGTTCTCCCCTAAAGGAAGAGAAGACATTATTGCACCAGGTTTCGGTGGAGCACACTGCTTTGCTTCGTCTCTTGTTGATTTATGTCAGCTAATGAAGTTAATGGAGACCAAGAATTTATTACCCTGGAATCTGACGTTAAGTAGCAGGTTTTGGATTTGTAACTGGTACTTTCGTAGATTGCATCACCGTTTAGAGGGTATGGGGAAACACAATAACATGTCACAGCCATAGAAAGATTGATTCTGAAAATACACCTGCAGAAATCTGCTTCTAAAAGTGAAATCAGTGAAAGGATTTTGTTACGTTTCTAAAGAAAGGCATTCAATGAATGTCCAATACATTTTCTGATAAATTTTTTTTTCAAGGTTTCATTTGTATGGCAAAAACAATGGATGAATTATTTGGGTAACCTTTATTTGATTGAAGGTTTTCATTAGTGGAAATGCTAAGGTTCAGACAAGTTTTCAGTAACATAATACCCTGGGAATCTCAGTCATGATTTGAGCAATATTGTGACTGTGTGTATGTGTATTTGTATATCCCTAACTAGAAGAATTATGATTCAATTATTATAATTGATTATTTAGCCCTTACATTTTCTTGATTGAATTGAACAAGTTTCATTTCAAAGGATCCCCCCCCCCCTTTTTAAAGCAAATTTATCTACAAAGTGATGGCAAACTGTTCTGGTACCTTGAAAATGAATGCAGAATTTGGTTATTAGTACACTTAATCAGCTAAATACAGTGTTCCGGGAAAAAAAAAAAAACAACACAAGGGTAAAATTCAAAAGTGTACCTGTCCCGATGAACATGACATCATACTGGCCGTCTTCTGCATCCACTCGGTCTACAACGATTTGCGTGAACTGATAATTTACATCCGTTTTGATCATGATTGGGCGGTTATTAATAGGGAATACTGGGTTGTACATGGCTGGATGACTTCTGGCAAAGGTTATGACATCATCAGGAAGGTCCTTTGTGGAGTCAAAGCCACCAAATGTTTTACTCGGACACTATTAGAAAAAGGCGAATACCTTTTAAATAAAATCTAATGATTGAGATTATAAATTATAAAATTATACTTCTTCAATATTCCGTGAGTCTAAACCCGTAATTATTTTCTATTACATTTGAACCTGACTGAATAAGTAAGCATTAGTTATTGCCAGTTCTTATGTACCTAAATTAATAGTTGAAATTATCAGTATATATTTCTAAACAATTGTTGATTTTCAATATTAATGAATGTCATCATTTCTTGCAGAACTTGCGAATGTGTCTGAGGTGTTCAGAAATCTGAAGAAGTCGGACGTCCCTGTTAACTGTACCAGCCTGCGCTCTTTCTATAATAGATTTTTAAAATAATGCATGAAATATGCTGCATCTGAGTGAAACTAATGATGTCTAGAGAAACAATATTTTTCTTGATTATATATAACTGCTTTAGTTGAGAGTCACACCCAAATATAAATGATCTTTCCCAACCAAAAGATAATAAAAACTATTATTTATTGTCTGACTCATAACATAACATTGAAAACACTATTAATGACTTTAATAAAATAATTCAGGCTTTATTTAGTGACTACCAGTGTATGGCACAGAAACTAGTCAATCAAAATGGAGGCAGCAAAGTTAAGAAAAATACATATTGACATATAAAGCAAAAAGAACATTTTTTTTGTGTGTGTGTGTGAGCTGGTATCATGTCAACTCTAGGTAGAAATACTCTTCTCAAAAGCAAATAAAAAGCCATAAGAAAATCAACATTTTTGTCTCCTCACTGTAATTCAGTGTGTAGAGCAAACAGTGTCACAGGGTACAGTACATCCAGTCTTACGTAGCTTGTCCTACAGTTCAGCAATGCTTCACTTTTAATGTCAGTGCGCGAGAGATAAAATGTAATCGTATCTTACAGGATTAAAGCTAGAAATCAACCTCTTGCCAGTTACTTGACAAATTCATTAATAATTCAAGAGTTATTAAATAATGTTTTGAAATGAGAGTACAATATATATGTGTACATGTTTGATCTGCACACGGACTAGATATGATAGAATAATAGATTTCTTGTTTTGATATACCTTAGAGATTTCTTTAATATCACATTAAAACTTATAAAAAGCTACAAAGCTTCAAAGGCTTTTAAGATTATTTATGGGACTAAAGAGATGTCATGGCATCTTCTAGAGGACTTGGGTATGATTCTCAGTACCCAAAAGATAATTCATATCCAGTTATATCTGCAGTTTCAGGGTATCCAATGCTCTCTCTGGACTTCTCAGGGACTGGACATATGTGGAGTACAGACACATTCAGGCAAAACACTCTCAAAGAGAAAAGAAGGAATTTTGAAAAAGGATCTCTGTGTTCTCCTTTGTAAAGACATCAGGAACAAATGTGCAAAGGTGTGAGTAAAAACTGTAACTGTAAATTATTTTAATTTTTCTACAACTTACTTTCGTTTCTTTCTCTATTATCTGTTTTTAAACATAAAATATAATTTGCTTATAGATTTTCTTTAAATTTCAATAATAACTGGAGTGTGGTGGCACACGCCTTTAATCCCAGAACTCAGGAGACAGAGTCAGGAGGATCTTTGTGAGTTCAAGGCTAGCCTGGTCTACAGAGTGAGATCTAGGACAGCCAGGGCTACACAGCAATATTTAAACAACACGCTATTATTGTTTTCAAACAATATAATAGCGTGTTGTTTAAATATTGCTTTTATGACTGCCCCTCAGTAATATTGCTGAAATGACAGAGAAATGACAGTTTGTACCTTTAAAACATTCATCACATCCTCTCCCACTCCTGACTTATGCAATGCTATCTCTAACACTCTGAGCACAGTGCTTGCTGTTAAACTTTCTCCTAAGTGCTTACTTTGAACAGTGAGTTAGTGCTAAGCTGGAGGCTGAATACTGGCACCATCACTTAACATAGTTCTCGTCATTAAAATCTGAAAAATAATTGACTAATGTTTATGTGTATGTGTGTATCCCAGTACAATATATCCCATTGAACAAAGCCCAGAATATAGTAATTTCTATTACTGATTTCACAAGCTCTATTCATAGTAAAAGATATTTTGAGCAGGATATTTAAGACATGGAGGTCTGTCATCCATAGACACAAAACTGTCTACTAAGAAAGAGGGGGCAGTTTGTGAATAGAAGCTGGAGAAAATGCCCTTTGTTTTCATAAGTCTCATTTCTTTCTCAATAATAAAAACTTTCCATCTAGTCATTATTATTTTCAAATCATATTGAATTTTTTATCGCTGTTGCAGCATTATCAGTTAGAAACAATTTTTTTGTAAAACACAATATTTTTAATTTTCTCATAGATAATTTTAGAAATACAGAGAAAACGAAAATACTAAATCCTATATCTAGTAAGGTAATAAGAAATACTTGTCTTGAATCCATCATACTATTAAACCACCGAAGTAAAATTAAACTAATAGCTAAATTTCAAATGTAAGTCCTTTCGACTTTCTAAAAATATCTTTCTTAAAGTTTCTTTTGATAAGAAAATGCTACTCCTAGTTGGGATTGATAGGGAATTGATGTGGGATTGATTTCTTTCTAATCTGTTGCTTTCATTGGTTAATTAATAAAGAAACTGCCTTGGCCCATTTGATAGGCCAACCCTTAGGTGGGTGGAGTAGACAGAACAGAATTCTGGGAGAAAGACAGCCAAGTCAGTGAGTCGCCATGATTCTCCCACTCCAGACAGCCGCAGGTTAAGATCTTCCCTGGTAAGCAACCTCGTGGGCTACACAGATTATTAGAAATGGGTTAGATCAATATGTAAGAGCTATCCAATAACAGGCTGGAACTAATGGGCCAGGCAGTGTTCAAAAGAATACAGTTTCTGTGTAATTATTTCGGGTAAAGCTAGCCGGGTGACGGGAAGTGGCCTGCTGTTCATATTACAGTAGGGAATGACCTGGGCCTGAAGCTGCATGAACATAATTTCTGGCACACAGGTAGAGTGGCGATCTGTTCACTAAAACATTAGGCTCACTAGGAAGCGGCACAAACCGTTGTAATTAGTTACTCAGATGGAAGAGGCAGGAGGACAGGCCTTGACAACAGGGGAGGCAGGGCCAACAGCCATGAAGCTTAGTAGAACAGCCGTCAACAAAAAGTTAACTGATGATTCCTTAATTACACCTACGAAACCCAAGTGAAAGAATTCTTAGGGTTTGAACAACTGAGGATCGTGACAGCCCAAGGATGCAGTAAATTGCACAGTACAATCAGGATATAGGGTGGGAGAGTCATTAAGCCTCAAACAGACACACTGAAGACGTATGGGCAAGTCTCCTTCAGTTCCATCTTAAAAACACTTAGCCCAGCTCCATCTGAGACCCTGCCAATGGGAGGTTGCCTGGATCACACTAGTTAAGGACATGTCCCTGAGACGTTGTCTTGTTTGGTACCTGATGTGGGACTGCCCAGCTCATGGTGCCAGTATGGGCATGATCTCCTGGTGTAAGTAAATTACCTTAGCAAAAGCCAGGGTGCCAGCTGTCTATCAACCTTCTTCCATAGCTTCTGCTTCAAGCCCCTGCCTTGGTGCCCCTCAGTGATGGACTGTACTGTGCCATCTGAAATAGACCTTTTCTCTGCTCTTAAGCGCCTTAAAGAAAACATTGCTTTGACATGGTCTTTAGGCTGACTTTCCTGCATTTGTATTATATTAATGTGTTTTCTTTATATGTATCTTTAAAAGGAATATTTTGTTACTTGACATTTTGTTTGGCTTGACATCGTTTCATTGGAATGATAGTGTTGCAAGCTCAATCAAAGCCATGGGAAGATCACGTTGGTTTTACTACTGTTCCTCTAAAGCCTACCATATAATCAGAATAAGCAGCGCCCTCACAGTCAGAGAGATGCAGCTCGTGTACCTTCTAGTAGTTTCAGTGTCCATGACAGCCATTTTCTCGAAAAGGAAGGTGCATCGGCTTCTCATTCATGTTTTGCTTAAAGAATTAGGGACAACCAATGATATGGAAGCAACTTAAATACTGGAATGTGTGGTGAACATGTTATATGTGGAGTTACAAGGAAGCACACAGGATCCGTCTTGAACTTCTCTTCGTAGTCACAGACTCTTTGCTCTGTGTTGTGCTAATACTTACACCTCAACTTATTTGCTATACTTGACAAAAATATATTCATTCCATGTGTTAAATATCAAAACCACTTACAGTTCCTGGCCGTGGATACGGGACTCTTCCTTGATATGGCACCCACTGATAGTTGGGGCCGTCTCTGTGAGCATATGGGCCAAGGAACACTCTCCTTACATCACTCATGCTGTACATACACACCGCAGAGCCCTTGAAGATGTTGCTAGGAGAGAAGAGAAGGAAAAGTGGCTTTATCTCTAGTTAGTGGCTGTAGGATGACTTGGACTTCCCCATTATGCTTCAGATGTTAGTGACCAAAACACACATAGAGCTTTTGCAACCACAAATATTCTTTGGGATTAGTTTGGTCTCATCAATGCATTTTATCAATGTATAAAGGATTAAATCATGATTTGTTTAAAGTGTATGAAATCTTATTTGGTCTTCATTAATTTATATCAAATATAAACTATTAAAGCTGGACAAGAAAGACATATATGAATGAATATTCAGTTTTGATGTCGTAAAGAAATAAAAGCTAAAATTTCTGTTTCATCCTCAAGTATCATTACTGAGAAAAAAAAACCATCGTAGTCTCAAGAACTTTAAAACATCATTTTCAAAGGAATGCATGGAGGCATATCACATTCGAATTTTAACTCTTAAGCCAAGGTGTGAATTGAAGTCACATTGGAGATCTGAAATCCATAAAAGATTAATTATTATATCTGTACAACACAGAGCATAGTTTAAGGTAGTAGGAGTTATGTGATGGTCAACGTGGAGAATTATGGCAGATGTTTTTATAATTCTATCAATCAAAAGCAAGCAATTGAAATAACTGTGTTTGTCTTTGAGATGAAACTATTTTCCATTTACTTGGTCTGCAAAAAGCACAGCTTATGTATAATATTATATAAAAATAAAGTGCATGCTTACATTACTTATAACAATATAAGTCATATTGAAAGCACATATAAATCATGCCACAGAATAACTGTGGGTTCCTAAGCAATAAAAATTGCTCATTAGACAATGATACAGAAGGGAAACTGATGTCTATTGGACTCTGACAACCTCTTACCATGAGTATACGACTCCATACTAACCTCGATAAATATGCATAATGTTTAATATTTCCATGATAGAATAAATTACGAACTAACCCACATCTGATGCATCCCACTTTCATCGAAATTTATTGATTATTTCCCATTTTATTGTTACATATTTAGTAATCTTGGTGAATCAGATAATTCTGAAGTTTACTGCATGCAATTTGGAGCCCTTTGCTACCAATAACCTATCTTATTGAAAAGAGTGAAGAAATTATTTCACGCATTAAACAGTGGCAATCAAAATACAGATTTCCTAAATACTAGCATGGGAATTACCCAGTGAACTGGTCAAAAGAGAAGATTCATAGGGCCAACTCATTCTTCCAAGGTCAGAAACTCTAGTGATAAATGATATGAAATTTTATTATTTTTATTTTATAATTAAAATTTTTATATATGATTTATGGAATTTGTGTATATGATTTGTAAATTAGAGACATTAAGTTTTAACACATTCTTGGTGATTCCCACAGACAATACTGAGAAGTGCTGTTGCTCTAGGAATTAGGGACACAGAAAGACAGATTGAGAGTTGCCACTCACTTCCCACAGTCTTACTGCCGTTGTCTAGGTATTAGCACCAGATTTACTAATGCATCGGCATATGGACTTGCATATAGATTTAGTAATATGTGTCTCTTCATTTCCAAAGTTCATTTTGTTAAGTAATGATGCCAAAGTGATTTAAATGCCTTTAATATTTAAAAATATGCCAAATTACATTCTACAATTAATCTTTCTCTTTATATGACCATACTCACCAACAGTGCTTCTTAGTGGCTTCAAGATTATTTTTATTTTAAATAATTTGCCATCTCTCAATGCATATGCTTACTAATAGCCATGCAATGAGTTTATTTGTTCCAAAAATACTTTATATAGTTTGAACCTTCTGCTGAGTAGAATGGGGGTTGTCTGACCAAAAGATTAAGCAGCTACTTTTTCATTGAGAGCAAGAACTTTTGGAAGAACTAGAAAGAGAAAAGCGCAGGTTGATGACAGTGCTGGAAGTGTATGGAAGTGAAAGAATGTACAAGGAGAGGAATGGAAAGGAACGGAAAGTGAGGAAATGAAGCTTGAATTTGGAATTGTGTGTCAAGCAGACAACACACAAAAACCTGTGTGAACTTGGCTCCCTGGTTTCTCTCTCCAGTTCTTGCTTGAATTTAAGGAATCATTTAATAAGATTATATTTTAAATATTTGGATTTTAGGTAGTTAATGAAAAAAATCAAGGAACCCATCAAATTAAAGAGTAATTAGAGTAAAAAAGGAGAAAATCTATTTGCTAACTTTCAGAAATTTTGATATAATAATATAATAATATTCTATTATTATTTTGATATTAATAATATAATAATATTCTATTATTATTTTGATATAATAATATAACAATATTCTAATGCATGTGAAGTGTGTAAAATCATATACATATATTAGAATTTTATGAAATGCTGTATTAATGTTTGTAAAAGTACTCGAATAGGTTATATTTAAGAACATATGTGTATATACAGCTATATATTTATGCATGCACTTATAATTAATAAAAAAGAGGGCATGAGTTTGAAGGGAAGTGGGGAGCAGTATATGTGAAGGTCTGGAGAAATGGAAAGATTATATTATAATCTCAAAAACAAAAGAAACATAAAAACATTTATACAAACAACTTAATATTTTTATTTGTTAACTTTTTACTTTCTCTAACTCTGCCAAATTTTTACTGACTTCTAAGGGAATGTGCAGGGAGATGGAGCAAGGACTTTACATGTGAGAGCAGTGGGAAGCCTACCGAACTTCTGGACACCAGAGGCTTGTTTTCTATTAAGTTCTCCGTCAACCACCTGTCCAGAGAGAGGACTTCCCCTCCAGGGGAACAACTGGCAATACTAAATATCCTGGATTGCCTATCACCTCATTTCTTTAGCATTTGCTGACAGCAATTGAGACAGAGTGCATGGGACAGTTGCTACAGTTCTAAGTTCCAAATCGAGTTCCTTTGTTCTTCTTTTATATCACTAAAAGCTTTTTTCAAAAAATTATTGTTTCCAACTTTACGATCCCCATCTTGCTGTGTATTAAATATAAAATATTAAAGTTGACATTATATTATTACTAACTGTACTATATACAGTATAACACACAGTTTTCAGACTGCTTCATTGTTCTATTTATAGTGATGATATCCGTGCATTACATGCTTTAATTTCTGATGACTTGTAATTGGTGAGCGGGCACACCCATGTGAGTACACACGTGTGCCACAGTGACTCACAGTTCAGAGGACAACTTGTTCCAGTCAGTTTTCTACCCCATCTGCTTTCTGGAATCCCACTCTGGTTGTGAGCTTTGGGACAAGCCCCTTCATCCCAGCAACCATCTCAATGGCCCCTGACCTCATGACTTGTAAAATCATTATCAGAGCATGTCAGAACCAAGAACTCACAGACACTCAAAACCTGAAGCGATACAAGCGGCTAAGCAGCTACAGGATGGGCAATTTATCCAACACAGCAATAAAGTGTCGTTTACCTCGATGTTGTAAACACTCCGTAGACAACCGGATTTTTAGGATCTTTAGAGTTCATTAAGAATACATCCTCTGTTTGAAAACACAACCAGAGAAAGTTCCATATTTATTTTACACCTAGTGGGCAGTTTGCCCCCCCTCCTCCCAGACTCTCCTCTATCCCTCCTTTTCCTTCCCTGATCCATCCCTCCTCTGTTAGCACCTTCCCCTTCCCCATACACCCCTCCTCTGTTCTCATCTCCCCCTCCCCCATACATTCCTCCTCTGTTTCTGTTCAGGCACAGGTCTCCCATGGATATTAACAAAACATGTCATGTAACGTTTCAGTAAGACTAAGCACTTCACATATGTCCTATGCGTCAAACATCAGCCACTTACGCAATTCATCGAAATGGGTGTCAATGCCATTGGGACCTGGCACAGAGCAAATTAGGCGAGCCTTCAGGAATGTCGTCCATTTATTCACAAGACTTCTGTGTCCGCCAAAGTCATTCTGAAAGGTAACACAAGCTACTCTATAGAGCAAGCACGCTACACAGAAGTGTCAAATATGTTTCTATTTCCCATTTTTAAACTCCAGGAACATGAATGTATTTCTTCATTTTTCCACTCCAGGAACATGAATGTATTTCTTCATTTTTCCATGTTTAAATTTTTTTAAAAAGGCATCTTTTCTTGTAATCAAGTAATCCCCCATTCTCTACTTTTCAAATGAGCCATAACCATTCTAAATGTCTAAATATAAACTATTATCCTATTTATTATATTTTTGCTCAAATCTTTGATCCAAAGCTCAGTAAAGGAAATGCCCATAAGAGTACTTAAATGTGCTGGGTGGTGGTGCACACCTTTGATCCCAGCACTCAGGAGGCAGAGACAGGCAGATCTCTGTGAGTTCGAGGCCAGCCTGGTCTACAAGAGCTAGTTCCAGAATAGGTTCTAACACTACAGAGAAATGCTGTCTCAAAAAAAAAAAAAAGTTCTTAAATGTTACATTTTGTCCATTAATGGGAGTAGATTAACTCATTTGAAATATGTACACTATGAAATATTATTTAGCCATTTAATATGATTAAACCAGGAGTACTTGCTTGGTAAATTCAGTCAGATAGGCTAATATAAATATCGCTGACCTCAAGTAAAAATGATCCCAAAATGTTGAACTCTCAAAAGCAGTGCGTAGAATGGTGACCCACTGAATCTAGGAGAACAGTAGAATTTGAACACAAATTGGCCAAAGGATAGAAAATTTTGAAAAGACGGGAAGAAGAGGTTCAAGAAATCTATTATGTAGCATGATTGCTACATGTAGTTTTAATATTATATTCTTTAAAAATTGCTAAAAAAGATTTCTAAGCATTGTTACCACATAGAATAAAAGTATATGATTTAAAACATACTAATTTGCTAGATTTATCCATTTATCAATGTTAAAATGATATTCTGTATGTTACAAATGAATATAACTTTTCAATTAAAATAATTTAAAGGAAATTTTCTCTTCTACCTTGCTATTAATAATGGAAAATTATTAATCGCTTGTTTGCTCTGGGTTAGGCAAGTTCTCCCTACTGAGCCAGTGTTTTCTATGAATCTCACCAGCTGCTGCAGCCTGACTCGAGGATGCTACTGGGTATAAAATTAGCCTTCCCTGGGCATATGTCTAATGGGTGAGGAGTGTTGCTTATTGTCTTCACTGACAAAAAATCCACCAAGTCACGCTCCTGAAACCAAACACTTCAACAGCTTACAACAGTCAGACAGTTTTTAGACTGTAACCAGTCGGTTGAGAAAATATTCCCTAGAAAATATTTTCAGAATGCCTTATTACTGCAAATTAAATTGAATTTTAATGTAAATGTTATTCTGAATTCTATTGCAAAGACATATATTTAAAAGAAGATACTATCTTTAAAACTAATTTTTTTCTTTTTGTTTTTTTTTTTTGAGACAGGGTTTCTCTGTGTAGTTTTGACTATTTTGGAACTTGTTCTTTAGACTAGGCTGGCCTTGAACTCACAGAGATCTGCCTGCCTCTGCCTCCCAAGTGCTGAGGCTAAAGGTGTCGTGCCACCTCTGCCCAGCTAAAACTAATTTTTATGTACACATGTTGCTGTAACAGTTTTCTTAAAATTAGAGAATACATTTATATTCGGTTTATATGGTATTTATATTATACAGCTTTTAATAACTCTATAGCTAATACTTTAAACTTATTTATTTTCATAAAAATGTCTGATTTATCTACACATTGTTCTATGTTTCCAAATCACAAAGGAAACTTTATGAATCAGTTGTATTGTATCATCAGATCATAATATGCTAAGAAAGAGATCAGAAAGACCCCATGGATTTTTTCTGCTATAACACTGTTATGCAATATTATACCATATTAAACACTGAATCCTCCAGAAAAATAAATATCAGATCACCTCATTCCGATATTTGTATGTGTTTGAATAAGAACCTATGTGCTGATGAAATCATCAGTTTGTAAATATAAACTATCCCAATTTTGGCTCATGGTTCAATGCTTTATCTGTATTTCAATATCAAATATCTATTCAAAATATATTAGTGTATGAAATTGCTAAATCTGAAAATGTAGAAGGTATGTTCTTTCAGGTAATATATTATTCTTATTCATATAGGAAAATACTTTGTATTCTGTGACTTTGAAACAAAATAATTAATGTAATTGTGAAATAGTTATTTCATAATCTCTAAGCATATTCCTATTTGTATATAATACATTTTTCAATCATTTCTAACATTTAAATATTCAGTATTAGATGTCATTTTAAACATCATTTAAATCAATGGAAAATAAAATGAAATTAAATAAATTAAATAGTGAATGAACAATACTTTTTATTTCTTTACCTCACCTTGCATATCTGACCAATTCTAGCATGAGTGGCTTTTCCAGAATGTTCTCCATCTATTGCATTTTCTCGGAAGAAAAAGTACACTTTATCATCTTCAGGGTTGTCACTCTCTGGGATGAGATGAGCACTGATGAATCTAGGATCTGAGAAAAACATTCTATTTATTAATCTGCAGTTTAAAGAATAAGGATAGTCTATAGGCTTTGTTTATACTTTCTTTTGTTTATACTTTGTTATATGTGAAGATGGGAGTTTCCTTGCTTAATCACGTTTTTGGATTACTTTACCTAATGCCTGTTCATTATGAAATATATTATAAATTATAGTTATCTCAACAAAAGAAATTTAATTTTGCTCAGAGTGTTAGGCAAGGGTACAAAACCCATTTAGAACAAATTATTGATTATCCAAATCCTTTTCAATCTTGAGAGTTATCAAGTGTTCCTTGTTGCTGTATGCAGTTATTCCTCTTTTAATGCATCAAATTACATAAAGAGTCCTGACTACTTCCTTCTTGTTTTCATTAAATACTTGGTGGGGGGCAAAGGTGAAATCTGTGTAAGCAACGGAACTGCTCATTCCCACTCATTTTCCCGTTCCCAGCTCAGAATATGGTGACATCATTTTACTCTTCAGACCAAGAGTAAACTCCATGCTCTGCATTCTGTCCAGTAGCCTGTCCACTCCATATCAAACTCCAATGTCACCAGTGCCAATGCAGATCACCATTTTTCAACCAGTCTGTTCCTAGCTTACAGCCGTCCATATTTTTTCACGCAACCACCAGAATGCTCCTCTACCCCATCATGTTTGTCTCCAGGTGCTCCATGTTCTTTACCACTCATTTAATAATAAAATCAGCCAGGTGCTGTTGGTGCACACCTTGAATCCCAGCACTTAGGAGGCAGAGGCAGGGGAACCTCTGTGAGTTCAAGGCCAGCCTAGTCTACAGAGTGAGTTCCAGGACAGGTTCCAAAGCTACAGATAAACCTGTTTTGAGAAACCAAAAGCAACCAACCAAGTAACTAACCAAACAAATATTTGAATAAATAAATACAAAATCAAATTACTTAAAATAACCAGGGGCCACAACCCTTTTTGAACCACCTGACACATATTTTCTTTTGCATCCTTTTTCTTCCAGCCTTCTCCTGGACAGAGATGCTATCACCAATCCTGGTTCTTATATATATCATGTAGTCTCCACCATGCTTAAGAGACATAGGAAATGAACAGATCACAAAACTAGCTTTATCAGTGTAAAATCCATGACATCCAGTCCTGATCTTAAGCCTTAAATAGTTACCTTAATAACCTTCTCTTTAACTGTGACATCTTTTTATGTTTACTTCGGAATGATATGCCCTGAAATAAACCTCAAAAAGATACACACCAAGTCATATCAGGCTAAGTATACAGACCCTGGAAGTAATGTAGAACACATGAAATGTTTCCCGTGAGCCAGAATAATGGAGTAATAATTTAAGAACCAACCAAAGAAGCTGGTCAAACGTCACCTTACAAACAGACGCAGTTCTACAGATCCTAGCCTAACAAGGACTTTACAGTTACTAAACTTAACTACCTTTCTTCAGGTTTCTTCTCATGGGAAATTAATCTAATTCGAATCTAAGGTTTCAGCAAAAAGCCCATGTTTGCAAGAATATAATTAACTTAATAAATTTGAGAGATGATGTAAGATAATTTTCAACACATTTTATCATGACCAAGTATCAACTAAAGAAAATACCAGCATCTACACGTACAATACTTTGTTTTTCACTATTTTGCATTTTAATGCATTTAACACTACTTAGGTTCAGTACAGCTTTATGAGAAAGACTGCATTGTGTTTTCAATTAAAAATTCAAGTAGATTTATTTTTCATGCATTTTTTAGCATCTGTACTATCAATTTATTAAATATTTCTCAGTGACTACTCTTTATTTTTAATATAGAAGATCACAAGTTACTACGATGGAGATCTTCTGTAGTCATGATGGTGACTGTCACCAGATATCCAGCAGGTAAATGTTCTAATTCTTATACTGTACAAGAAAGAGTCAAACTAAGAGTTTAGAAAAAAAAACCCAATAAAGACATGCCTCTAACTTATTCTTAGAATTTAAGGTGTGAGGCACAACAAGGAAAACATGCACAAGATGACAGAAACAAAAGGGAACATTGTGTCCATAGAGAAGACAAAATGGAGAGGAAGTGGAAAGGAATGGACAGCTAAACCTGTTCCTTTGCAGCTGCCTTATCTGGGATTGTATCATAGTGCCGAGGAATAAAACACAGACCCCATATCTGCAAGCACAGTGATTTAAAAAGGCAACGGAAAGCTAAGAGATGTGGCATTCTTGTCGTGGAGGTGCGTCTCTTTACTCGGTGGGAAGAAACAACAAAGCATTTGAAACATAACATTCCTACATTCCATGATGTGGAAGCGTTGTTGTGGCTCAGTTGCTTCACAGAATAAAATAAGAGGGGCTGGAAGTGGGCACAAAAGGGCACAGTGAGGCAAGAAGGAATGCTGGCAGACCGAGCCGAAGCAACCACAGAGACACAATGGATGCAAGGCGCAGTGAGGGTGAAGGAAAGGACACAGGGCCAGGTTATTTTAAATTAATTGGCTGGTAGAACTTAATTAATTCACAGGTAGAAAGTTGAATACATGGTGCAATGACTAAAACCATGAAAAAGAAAGAAATTTCTGCTTTAAACCAGTGGCTGAATAAAAGTCTTCAGACTATGTGAAGAAGTGTCAAATAGAGAGGAAGAACGTGGCCTCATTTTACCGCATCTGAAACGGAAAGACATGCCTTTTCCCACATGTCATGAAAAAAATAAATGGAAAGAAGGTGGCCATATTTGAAATTGAAGTGGTGAAATGACTGGTAAGATGCTGGCTAAAATAGAATGGAGAATAGATAACCCTTGTTGAGGTTTGAGTTTAAAATAGCTTCCTTGGAACTCATGACCCCTTGCCCCCCAGCTTGCAAGGCCATCTCGGGTGGAGAGGAACCATTAGCATGGAGTGTAAGGGGAGGAAATGGCCTGCTGGAAAGTGAGCCCTTAGATTTTTAGTCCCACCCCATTTCCTGTCCCCTTACTTCTTAGTCTGTCTGCTGCTGTCAGGACTCTTCCCACTTCCTAAATACAGACGTTCCTGAAAAGCACAGATTATAGCCCTCAAATTATGGACAGCTAAACCTGTTCCTTTGCAGCTGCCTTATCTGGGATTGTATCATAGTGCCGAGGAATAAAACACAGACCCCATATCTGCAAGCACAGTGATTTAAAGTAGAAGGAAACTTCAGTATCACTACAGAGATGGGACTCCAAGCGGTTTTCCATTTTTCCCTCTTCAACAACCCTTTTCTTTGACTTAGCTCCCCTTTAATTACTTGATCTTAAAAAAGAAAACATATCCACAGATGTTGTTTTAGAGAACATTGGAAAGTCTTGTGTCCATCAAAACAGAGGACCGGAGCATGGGCCCCACTTCCCATCTGCTCCCCAAGTTTCACTAACTGGGTTCTTTTCTATCTTTCCCTGCCATCAGGCATCAAGAGATATCATACTACCCAATCAAACTTGGTTAGGTCTTGCTTATCTATTGACAGAAAAACATTCAGGTTGTTTACAGCTTGCTTTGCTTTCCTTATTTTTTGATGCTTCTTGACACTGAGATTGAGCTGTTCGTTATTGGGCACCACTGTCTTTTCTCCCTGTTATCTATAAAATCCCTCAAGATGCACGCTTTCTAAACTTCACTCTGGATTTTTCCCCATTTCACCCTTAAAATGAACCGATCTAGTATTTTCTCCATTACTTCAGGATTCTCCATCCGTTTATATTGTTCTTCCACTCTGAGAGTCCATATCATCCTGTTCTTCTTCTCATAGCCATTTCTTACACTTTGTGGATCTGGTTAAGAGTTCTCCCCAGATTGTGGACTGGGTTCATCTGGCATGGAAGGCATTGGGCACTTTCTTTTCAAAGCTGCCCCCTCCTGCATTTCTTATTTTGGTTGGTGCTCTCACGGGCACCTTTATATAAGCAGTCATGTTTAGCTATGTAGTCTCCAGCTGCACCAGAACTCCCTTCTGCCTCCTAAATTCCTAAACCTTTTTCCTCTTTTCTTTCACTCCCACTTCCTGCTCTTAGCCTTCCTTTTCTAGCCTAATCTATGTTCCCATTACAATACAGCAGTGTTCTCCGCCTTGACCTCAAAGGTTTTATCTGAGCCATCCGACAAAGGAGGGAGAGCCAATTCACTGATGGTGTGCATCCTGCAGAACAGTGCCTGGTGGTGTGAACTCAGTCATGGTAAACCAAAATGACACAGAGACCGATATCACACTGAGACAGTGGTAATACAACTGAAGGTGATCAGTATATAAACCTGAGCTAGGTCAAAATTTTGACTCTACATATTCTACCGCAAGAGAAAAGTGGTAAACGTTGCTGGTTACGTCAGTCACAATGTGCCTGATGGAGGAATCTACGGCAGTAAGTGTTGCCCACAAACTAGCCTGTACATCTCTTTCCAGCAGAATGAACTCCATTTTCCTTTCAGTGTCCTTCTAGTGAACTCATTCCCTACTCTGGACCACACCTCACCAGTGTCTTCCCAGCTGTGTTGTTCACATGTGATACGGAAATAACATTTGCACCCGCCAGTGTCTTAGCATTGAGTTCTTCTCCATGACTCTCATTTTTATAATTGTCATAGACACTTATCTTGCATTTCCAATTCTCTGTGGTTAGCTTCTGTGCAGAAGAAAACTTCTCCTCAGCTTCTTCTGAATGTTTCGCAGAGAATGGCTCCAGAGCCTTGCCACCCCGCCCCAAGATTCTTCTCTCCTGAAACTCACATTCCATGCATTCGAACTTGTCTTTGTCTGAAACTGTTTTACTATCTTGCACCTTTTAATATGTATAGAGGCTTGAATAAGAGTGAACCCAATAGGCTCCTGTATTTGAAATACAGTAGGAAATGGCACTATTTGAAAAGATTTAGAGGATTAAGAGATGTGGCCTTGTTAAAGGAAGAGTATCACTAAGGTTGGACTCTGAGGTTTCAAAAGCTCATGCCAAACACAGAAAGAGCCTCTCTTTCTGCCTATGCATCAGG